TATCGTAAATGTTATATTATAAAATTTTTATTATTATTATTATTATGATGTTATTTTTTATTATCCGTGAATGTTAGCAACTGGACAAATTGAATGCAGCGGTCAAGGAAAAGCGAGCAGAATTGGTCAATCGTAAAGGTGTCATTTTCCAGCAGGACAATGCTAGGCCGCACACGTCTTTGTCCACTCGGCAAAAATTGATGGATATTGGTTGGGAATTGATGTTACACCCACCATATAGCCCTGATCTCGCGCCATCGGATTACCACTTATTTCGATCCCTGGACAACTCCCTTCGTGGTAAAACTTTTAATGATGACGCTGTAAAATCTCACTTAACTCAGTTTTTGGCCGAAAAGGATCAGACTTTCTACGAGCGTGGAATTTTCAAGTTGTCGGAGAGATGGCAAAAGGTTATCGAACAAAATGGAAAATACATTACAGATTAAACTTCGTTCCAAGTAAAAAGAAATTTTTTATTTCATTGAACAAATCGGCAATTACTTAGTTGCCAACCCAATAGTTTGCGCCGTGTCGAAAGTTCATAGTACCGATCGATATCATTGACGAAACTCTTGAACGCGCTGCTAATCTCGTAAATAATTGTTTCTAGGAGGATTCGTCACAGGAATCTATCGATTTCTCAGCGCAAGAGGCTAACATTGCTGATTCGAATTTCGGGGGCACGCGTTTGCGGCGAGACGAAGGCGAAAGTGATAAATTCTTGCGAGGGTTAGTTATGGCTTGCGCTGGGATGACAACGTCGGCATTAGCCAGGAACGAGAAAATAAATAAATAATGAAACCAGATAGACATTCAAATGTCTTGTTGCACTGTAATAGTTTGCGTCGTATCGAAAGTTCATAGTACCGATCGATATCATTGACAAAACTCTCGAACGCGCTGCTAATCTCGTAAATAATTGTTTCTAGGAGGATTCGTCACAGGAATCTATCGATTTCTCAGCGCAAGAGGCTAACATTGCTGATTCGAATTTCGGGGGCACGCGTTTGCGGCGAGACGAAGGCGAAAGCGATAAATTCTTGCGAGGGTTAGTTATGGCCAATGAGTTCCAGACGTTTCGACAGTCGTTAGGGTTAATTTAATTGAAAGCTCATTGAAACGTGTTCGGCGATTACGCGCCGCCCGCAGTTATGGTTCGTTGTTCCTGGCCGGCCGGTGACCCAAATTTCCTTTCATCGGAGGGAGAATCGCAATCACCAAAATCTGTTCGTACGAACTGCGCCCTAATCCCGTCAGCTCCCCTTTCAACAGTGTGTGTACCCACGATTCAACACCCATCCATCGAGCATACCGCAATTCCCAAAAGGAAGGATCTCCCATTGATTCCCTTCAAAGGGACACTGTCCTCTCGTTAACAGGGTCAGCTCGGAACTACTCTGCTCCCACCCCCACCGCCCCTCCCCTATAGCCTGGACCGTATTTGATTCAGCCGGTAATTCGACGAGCGCGCGATGTAACTACAAGCGGGGGCGCACGGCAGCGCGGTCAATTGCAAATCGCGTTAAATTCGTTCGGGAACTCACCCTCCTCGATGCGTTCGCGTTCACGTTCGCGTTCGCGCTTACGGATAAGGGACAAGACCGGGCTGGGACACAGCGTGCCCGTGTCGCCCAGCAGGTCGTCGATGTTCGTGTGCTCGCCGATGAACAGTGGTAATGTGGAGGGTCGTTTCCTTGGCGACGATCTTCGGGGTGTCGGCTGCACATTGTCGTAAGGAGAGTCCCTGCCGCCGTAATTGTCCGGCGGATCTGGCGGATTTTCTACCTGGAAATCATACGGTGGCGTTGCAAAGAAATTTCAGCTACCAGGGAGAACGGAAAATTATAGATTCTCCCATAAAATAAGAATAAATTCGACTCTCTCTAAAAATGATCTAAAGAATTTTCTGCGACTTCTGCTTGGCTTCTGAGCATTTCGAAATGGTACCGTCAGGACCGATACGTAGAATAAATTCCTAAAATTCTAAAATCTCAGCTTTTACTTTCGAGACCGATCAAACGCTTTCGCGAAGCTCGACAAGAACCGGCGCGTTGATGCGATAGAATCAAGGTTCGCGGATTCCGAATGATCTCTCGGAGCGACCGCTCAATTCCTTTCTCGCGCAACGTTGGCTGAATCGGGGCATCAACTTTGTTTTCTCACCGCGGCGAGCACGCGAGCTTAAAGATTGATCGCGCTAGCTATTATCGGGCAGGGGCATCGGTTTGTCAGTTAGGGGCCGTTAAATGAATAATGCACAGTATATGATCGCGTTACCCCTTCAGGACTGGCGCGATCCCCAAGTGGCTCGTCGGGCGGCGGCGGCGGTGGAAACTCGATAGGGAATCTAGAGAGGCTTCTCTTCGTGTATATCTCGGGTTCAGGGTGAACGCCGATATCGATTCTCTCGAGCGACTCGGACGAGTCCGAAGTGCTATTAGAAGTTTCCACGGGAATCTTGACGACGCCTTCAGGAACGTTCGAGGAGCTGTCCATCCACCATGCCTTCTCGCCGGACTCGATGTGCCTGATTTTATTTATGCTGCTCCTGTACGAGTGGCTGGTGTCGACCTCGTCGTTCTGGCTCGAGACGCGAGGGCTGCCGGTTGTTGTTACAGGAATCACTTCGATCCCTTCGGGTACGTTCTCGGGATCGTCGCTCATCCACCAGGCTCGTTCCCCGGATTGCTGATGCTTGATACGATTCCGCCTTTCGCTGGATCGTGTGCTGCATCTGCTCGATCCCCGTCTCGAGACCGAGCAAGTCGAGGAAGATTGTTTCCTCGGCTCCTCCGACGAGATGTTGTCGTTCGCATCGAACCACCACGCCCTCTCCCCCGACTCCTGTCGCCACGCCGACGAGCTCGAGGATTTCCTTGGCTCCTCCGAGGGAACGCTCTCGTTCCCGTCTAGCCATCGTGCTCTGTCGCCGGAGTCGGGCCGCGAAACTATCGACGAACACTGTTTCTTCGTCTCGTCCGACCTGGTGCTGTCGTTCGAATCCAACCACCAAGTTTTTTCCCCCGACTCTTGCCTCGAAGTCGCCGACGAGTATTTCTTCGCGTCCTCCGACGCCACGCTGTCGTTCGAGTCTAACCACCAGCCTCGTTCTTCCGAATCTTGCCTCCATAGCCTGTATTTGAATTTACCTGAAACACGCGACATCGGCAAGATTTAATCGGCGTATCGTTCGGCTTTTCGCGATGGAACCGTTAAACATTCGTGGAATGTACTCACCATCGTCAGGTAGGGTACCGCTGACGGTCGTTTCTTGACTAATATCGTCGTTACACACGCTTCTGGTTTCGACACCCTCAGGAACGTTGTCGGAGTTCGGATCCATCCACCAAGGCTGTTCCCCGGAATAATCGCGCCTGATCTTCTGTCGAGCCTGCCTTCTGTCGTCGCCTTTCTCCGAGCCAGTGAAACTGCCGCTCTTCGAGAGGCTCCTCGGCAACGACGCCGCATTGTGCTCCGACTTCCTGACATCCGAGTTATCCTCGTTGGAGTCCAGCCAACCACCCGATTTACCAGACTCCCCGGAGTCCTGTTTGTTCTTAAAAAGATTAGTGACCGGCGCGAGAGCTCTCATTAAGAACGACTTAGCCTCCTCCGTTTTTCCCGAGCGATCGCTCTTCGATCTCGGACTCGACGGTGGTCTGGGTGGCTTGTCCATGGTCAGGGACGTCTCGTCGGCCGAGGATGCGACCACGCTCGTTCTGGACGAGCCGGCGCTGGTCTTGCCCTTCTTATCGCGAAAAGGCGACTCGGATGTTCGCCTTCGTCGACGTCTCGAGCCGGGTCTCGTTTCTTTCTCGTCGTCGTCCTCGCTGCTCGACGAGTTCGACGAGTTCGACTCGCTGTTGGCGCTGGAACTCGAGCTCCCATCCTCTTTCTCTCTGTTCCCAGCCGGCGATCTCGAGCTGCTCCTGAGATTTTCGGGCCTCGAGGAGCTGCTCGTGCCGCTTCTGTTGGTCGACGCCTTCGACCCGCTGGACGGCATTCTCAATCGCGACGCGCTCGTCTTCAGGGAGCCCGAGGATTCCGACGGGACGGCCTGATGAAGCGGTTCGGAGTTCGGTTCGGACTGCGAATCTTGAGAGCTGGCGGACATACTTCTCTGGCTCTTCTTCTTCCTGGTCAGCTTCGACTGAGACGGATCCCCGTTCTCCATGTTCAGGGTCGACTTCCGGAAATCTTTGTTGACGTACTTGACCGGCACCAGGCACTTCGACGCGGTCGAAGCTGTCGCGTCCGGTTTCGGCACAGGTGGTTTGCCGCGAGCGTCCGGTGAACCGCCTTGCCTCAGATTCACTGAGGACGCGGCCGAACCGCCCGATGACTTGCCCGGCGACGGCGATGGCGACGGTGTCGCCTTTATTTTTGAACCTTGACTCGTCATCGAACTGGCTGACGATGATTTCGATCTGCCAATTGGCACATTTACAGCGGACCCGTCTGACGAGTCCGCTCGCGTCATCTGACGCGGAAGATTCCTCGACGAGCTGCTCCGCGATTGTGATGTCGAGGATCGGCTTACAAGAGTCGCGCTGCGAACACACAAACATCCACAATTTTAAACGATCCGTGACAACGACACCCCGTACAATCGGCATACAATTTTGAATTTGTCTAACCCGATCGCGATCAGTCAGCGACGACTGCATCTCTGTTTCATTAGCAAGACGATTGCAAACCTCAACTATAAACACGCATCTACTCTCTCTCTCTCTCTCTCTCTCTCTCACTCTCTCTCCCTTTTTCATGCAAGTAAGTTTCATTACTTTCGACAATGCTTTAATACGTTCCGTAGAATTGCAGACTACCTTTGAAGAGACTCTTTCCCGGCGGAAGCATTATCACGCTTCGAAGAAGCAATATCTTCGCTTTGTTCCTGGCAATATCCTTCAACTATTCTTGAGGATTCCTCGGCTCTGGAGAACGTGCTGCCGTCGGATTTTGGTGTCGAACCTCTCCTTTCTCGAAGTCCATCCGACTTGGTGGACGACCCGGACGAAGATTTCATGATCTTGGCTTCATTCTTCATCGGACCGCGTCCTAATCTCGGAATGGACGGCCTTCTTTGATTGCCCTCGCTCTTGGACAGGGAACTTTCTCTGCTGCTCTGCGGGTCCTCGCCCCTGGAAATACTTTCGCGGGAGTCCGACGACTTCGCGACAATGGTCGACTGCTTCGGCGTGGCCTCCCTCTTTAGGCTAACCAAGGAGTCGTTGTTGAAGCTCTTTGAATTGGAAAACCGATCGTTTCTCGCTTCCGTCTTCGCAGCGGCACGGGAATCTCCGCTTTGCAGCTTCGCGTTCGTTTGATCCTTGCTCGGGCTCCCCTGACCGGGGCTCGTCGACGTCTTCGAAGAATCGGCTTTCGCGGAGGGGGCGTCCTGGCCGGCCCTCGGGAAACTTAAACTACCGAAAACTTTGGCGCTCTGCTCATTTTGGTTCCTACTGGCTTGAATTTCTTGACTAGATGCGGGCGACACCTTCGACGCGGAATCGCTCCTCGACGCGATCCCGTTGTCGTTCGACCTGCTGAACGCGAAGCTGTTCACCCTTGAGTTCGCCGCTCCGCCGGAACTGTTGTAGCTTCTGCCGTACACTCCGGTTCCGCCGGAGTTCGACGTCGAGAACTTGTCCAAGTACGACGACCAAGGAGACTCGGAGATACGTCCTCCGAATCGCGAGAACCTCGAACCGTCGTCCGTTCGGTCGCATTGGACCTCCTGATCCTTCGTTTCCGGTCTTCTGCGGACCCGCGTCACTTCCTTCTGATGGGCGATCCCCACATCCGCTCTCCTGCTTCTCACGTACGACGAGGAGGCTGGAGGGCTGGGCGACGTGCCTCTCGTCACCATGGTCAATGTCAAGGTGTCGTTGTCCTGAAGTCTGCTGTCTCCTTCGAGCCCCTCGGGCTTCGCGAACGGCTCCTGACTCGAATCTTTATCCGAACTGGTCTTCGCGCTGTCCTCGTTCTTCGAGCTCGCCGGCATAGGCTTACTACCTGAAGTTCGGAACCTGTCCGATCCGGAGTAGCTTATGGCTGAGGGAATTCGGTCGTTGCTGCTTCGAGGCGAGAGGAACCGGGAACTAGCTGACGAGCCGAATCTCGAGGAGATTGGCGCCGAGCTCGATTCGGAAGCACCTGCAAACATTCCGCAACTTCTTTTAGAATCCTTTCTTACTTTCCACTCGATTTTGTTCAATTTTTAGTGTTTTTTTTTATTTACATTAGAAACTCTTTTTCCTTGGCTATGCTAATTTAACCGTTCGAGTCCCAAGCAGCGCGATCGCGCTGTTGAGATTTTATGTCGAGAAAACCCAGCACATTTCGAACATTGTGGACAACTGACGATGCCTTACCGATCGTCGAAGTACGCTCAGATTTACCGAAGCAAGTACATCGCGCAGCTCCTTTTAATGTAAATAGTACATTTTACAANGGAAGCGCGCTCAGATTTACTGAAGCAAGTACATCGCACGGCTCCTTTTAATGTAAATGGTACATTTTACAATAGGTAGACTAATACTATAATAATGAAATAATACGTTACAAAATAAACATTTTTAATTCATTATTATCGCGCCGCTTGGTATTTCTCGATATAAAATAAAACAAGCGCTATCGCGTTGCTTGGGTCTTTTCGTACTCGTTTAGGGAAAGCACGGTTGCGCTGTTTGACATTCTATGACAGTGTTTCTTCAATACCCCCTGGGATTCAAACGGTTAATTAACAATTACGCCGCAATTCCTGTTTAACACGTTCGTCGCCCAGCGCAATTCGGTTGAGTTTCTCGCAGAGCCCAAATCCAACTGTTGGAGCACCGAAACATAAGCAGAGCGATAAATTTTTTAAATAAATAATTTTAAATAAATTTAACCTTGACATAACCTCAACGTCAAGAAGCGATAAAAAATGTAAAAAAAGCACGACCTATTGTTCGAATTGTCCAAAATCACCTCAAATGTGTTTAGAATGTTTCAACGCACACCATACGACATAGTATAATGTAATGTGTTATACTAAATATAAATTAGTAAAAAGTATAGTATACTATGTATAGTTTTAGTATTTTTAAGTTGTATATCCTATATTTATATTTCAGCGCTTATTCCATTTTATTCCTTTCAAAATCCAACTGAAAGTCCTATAAATTGAATAAGAAGAGCGTCACCCATATTTGGGTGACGGTGCCCTCACAGAAGCATACCCGTCACCCAGATCTGCGTGACGCGGAGACGAACGTGTTAAGTAGATGTAACAAAATTGGCGCAAAATTGATTTCTAAATCTAAGGAAATAATTCCCATATGCGGTCGACGTAGCAGTCAACGTGATAAAATGAGAAGTGTTAAACATTTCCAACAGCATCGTTCAATTAAATAGTACAATAATGTCTTCCTAACTGACGCTCGGATTGTGCACAAAAATGGACGATTTGGGAAGAGGAGATACGATTGTTCGAGCCTTGTAGCTCGTTTTTTTTATAGTTGTTGACAATTCGTAACTATAAAAACGAACCGCAAGCCTTGAATAATCGTATCTCCCCTTCCCAAATTGCCCATTTTTGTGGACAATCTGAGCGTCAATTAGAGAGACATTACTGTACGAAGCGTTGCTTTTGTCGACAGTGTCCACCATTTTTTATTATTTTTTAAAACACTGACAACTATTTCTGTCGCAACGGTGCCCATAAAATTCGTCCAAGCTGCAAAACTTATCGCAGCAATTACACAGCTTGATCTTCGACGAAAGGAACGTTTCTACATCGTAAATCACAGCAGTGCCGAAGATCTAAAAGTCTGAATGAACGAGGGAAGACGCGAAGAACGTAGCAGGGTTAAAGCGGACGATCAATGGAAAGTTTCGAAGCGTGGATGAAAGTAATATCGAGAATCAGACTTTCACTTACTTGAATTCGCGGCGGATCGACCGTAGGAAGACGCTCTCGAATAAACCCTAAAGGAGTTCGACTTGCCGACGCTGACTTCCGGGCTGGGCTCGCGCGAACTCCTACCGGAGTTCGGACGTAATCCCCGATAGGAAACCGGCGGATGATCGGTCCGTTCTTTCTTCTCGATTCTGCATTCGTTTCCATAGCTGCGCACCAAACCGGAGCCAGGATACGTGCTGGATCCGTATCGGGATACTCCGTCAGGCTCTCTGCTCTTCTCGCGTGAAGTGGCGCGGTTATATCTGTCCAAGACGGAGGCCGGCCTGTCTGAAGTTTTCGCAGCTGGGAACGAGTACTTCTCGAACAGGGATGATCTGCTGCTGGATAATGGACTTTTCGCTCTTACGTCCTCCGACGATGATCTGCCCGGGTGCAGTCTGCTTTTATCGGATTCTTTGGTAGCTGAAACGTAAGGTCCTTTGAATCAGCCGTGGCTCTCGCGAATATCAAAGAGAGTCTAGTAAGATGATACTTATTAGTAAGCCTCGTGTTATCTCTTTCAAACGTCTACCAAGCTTGTCGTACCTTTGATGTGGTTGTTACTTTAGAATCAATGGGGACGTTTCGAATGGCAATACAGTAATGTCTCCGTAAATGACGATCAGATTGTCCACGAAAATGGACAATTTTAGAAAAGGAGATACGATTGTTCGAGCCTCGTGGCTCGTTTTTTGTGGCTATCGATTGTCAACAACTATAATCGTATCTCCACTTCCCAAATTGTCCATTTTTCTGCACAATCTGAGCGTCAGAGAGACATTACTGTATTCTGCGCCTAAGGTTTCGCTGTCATAGCGATTCGAGATACAGTAAATCCTCTCCAATTGTCCTTCAGCTTGTAAACAGAAATGGACAACTTGGGAAGAGGTGATACGATTAATCGAGTCTTGCAGCTCGTTTTTATAGTTGTTGATAATCGGCAACGAATTGTTCCTTTTTGTTTGCAGGCTGAAGAACAGTTGGGGACGATTTACGTGTTTTGTCTTTCTTTATCTTATCACAACAACTTGCAGTAACGTGTCAGTCTCGTGACGAATACTTCACGCATAATCTAGTAAATGTAGATGTTACTCGTTTCTAGTAGACAGCGAACGAAAATATGCAAGAAACATAAATTGTCTCGTTTTATTAGGGAAACATTAGCTCGAGTCATAAATAACTTCCGTTTCTTTTATCAGTCATTTACTTTGCTTCTTATTAATTTTTTTGTTTCTTTTTTTTTATTTTATTTATTTCGAACCCTTATCTATCAGTGGATAGATACGAACAATAGATTCTATGTAGCTCTATCGGAAGTTATTTATAACTCGAGCTAATAATTATGGAGCTAGATGCGCGAATCGACAGAGCTGTGAAAGAAGTTGCAAACGGATGAACGCGACTTTCATTTTATAGTCTTCTTCGCTCTGTAATTATTGTTTTCGATTACGGAATGCCGACTCACCGGAATACTTAAACGGTTTCTCGTCGGCCTTGTCCTTCTTCAAGAACGCATTCCCGAAACTCGAGACCCTGTCCTTAGCGGGCACCCGACTGGAGCCAATCGAGGAGTAGCTGGTTCTGCAGCTGGGCAGATTGCTCGCCGCGGAGGTGGTTCTGCCGAAAGTACTGGAAGCGATGCCGGTTCTGGATCGGTAAGCACCGCTGTCACCCTGCGAACCACGAACCGAGCGGATCAGTCTGCGATTCTCGCGATCGGAGGACATTTATCCGAGACACCGTTACTCGGACGTCGATCGGCCCGAGTTGATCCGCGGCGGGCGAGTGCGTGCCGGAAATGTCCTTCGCTCGATCGCTGTTCCGCGAACCGCAAGAACAATCGAACCCCGGTGAACTTCGTATCGGTACCGGAGTGAAATTACCGATCGAGATCGGCCATTGTGGAACACGTACGGCCGGCATTTTTCCGCGGACGATTTATGCGTCGCCGTCACCGAGGCCGGAATATTTATTCACCTCGATGGAATCTCGCGTCGAACTTTCGAAGGGTCGAATCGGCGACGTTGCGACGGAGAACAGTAAATAACGACAACAAAGAAGATGAAATTGTAACAAGGAAGTAGGAATTTGAACGCGAGAAGTAGGAATTATGAGACAAGAAGCGATCGAAAGTTGGGAAACGGCGAGAATTCAGCGTGGAACTGACCTAGTCGTGAACAGTTTATTTATATTCGCGTGGACCGTGATTGTAATTAGAAGATTGTAATTGTGCAAGGAAATCCGTCTCTAATTTGAAGGATTATTTGGTATCTGGCCACCGCGGCTCGTTACTCATGCCAACAGAAATAATTAGAAAGAAAGGACGGGAAGAACGAGCGAGATGCTCTCGCAAAACCCGGATAGAGGACAAGATGCATCATCTGCGGATGGCTGAGGCCTAGAAATGATAATTCGTACAATTAACATAAGTTTGGCGGGTTGCCCTAAGCTCGAAATAGACGGCACGACCTCGCCGGGAGTAATAACCTTCCTGTTTCTCTCTTACGTATACTGGGTGAAGCAAATAAAACTTCGCTCTGTTCGAAACTATTAACTATTTTTCATTTCGGTTATTACTCCGTGCTGCTTCTGCAGACAGTGCTCGTCCAAAATTAGAGATTAACTAGATTAATAATAATAACTAGATTTGATAACGATAACTTTTGAATAATGATAACTAGATTTTTTTTAATAATAATAACTAATTAACTAGATTTCGTTGTATTTAAACAACAGCCCTAAATGTCTTCGTTCCGAAATCGATATTCGTTGAACAAAATCCTACGAATTAACATAATGAATATTCCAGTATCGGCGCGCGATTGTTCATTTTCAATCCATTATCCTAAACACCTCGTCGGATCCGTTTGTTTGCACCGATTCGATCAAACTTCACGCGATACCGGTCCAGGCAACCGTAATTTCAATTTGAATTCAATTACACCGTAAAGCCTCGGCATCTTGTGCTATCGCGTTAAAGCGGGATCCAGCACGGAAGCGTGGGTCCATCGTGCTCAAACTTTTAAAAAGTGCCCTTCGTTATTATGCTAATGCCATTCGGGGTGATAATGGAATTACGAGAGACGTTCCTTAAGACCGTTAAAGCGATTCGTTTCAGCGGAAACGCCGAAAGGGGGCCGGAAACGATAAGTCCTTTCGACTCGTTTATATCCGGCCCATTATCGCGTCTCGAGTCTTTTCACTCGCGAAAACGTGGTTCCTCAATGGCGCCGGGCCCTCGATCTCTTATGCCCGCCTAGAAGCCCCGATCACGCGTCACCGATTCTTCTCACAAATTCTCAGACCGCAACTAGACCGTTCCCGACGAAAACGAGTCGTAACCCGAACCTCGAATTTAATTTCGTAACGATTCGACCATAGATATTCATGGCTTCGATCGTGCAGGGCTGGTAAAATAGATTTTTGAAATGGTTTGTTTCATATCGTGTAATACAGAATTTGGTAAATAAACTTTCCTTGAAATAATAGCTACATATGGAAATAGCATCTTTGAATGTATTAACTACGCAATATTCATACAGTAATTACTATTTCAAAAAAAGTTGATTTGCCATTCTGTATGATATGAGAAGACACAAATATTTATACAGACCATTTACTATTTCAAGAATTTATGTTTTCAGTCCTGCACGATCGTGTAATCTTTTATCGGCGAGCAGACGCGAGCATTCAATTGTTCGAAAGGCGGACCCAAACAGCCGGTATAATTCGAGTCGTAACCCGAACCTCGAATTTAATTTCGTAACGATTCGACCATAGTTATTCATGGCTTCGATCGTGCAGGGCTGGGTAAAATACATTTTTTAAATGGTTTGTTTCATCTCATGTAACACAGAATTTGGCGAATAAACTTTCTTTGAAATACTAGCTACATATGGAAATAGCATCTTTGAATGTATTTAACTACGTAATATTCATACAGTAATTACTATTGGGTTGGCAACTAAGTAATTCCCGATTTCAGTTATAGATGTCTCTCACTCCCATTTTTATGATATCCGTAAATGTTATATTATAAAATTATTATTATTATTGTTATTATGTTATTTTTTATTATCCGTGAATGTTAGCAACTGGACAAATTGAATGCAGCGGTCAAGGAAAAGCGACCAGAATTGGTCGATCGTAAAGGTGTCATTTTCCAGCAGGACAATGCTATGCCACACACGTCTTTGTCCACTCGGCAAAAATTGATGGATATTGGTTGGGAATTGATGTTACACCCACCATATAGCACTGATCTCGCGCCATCGGATTACCACTTATTTCGATCCCTGGACAACTCCCTTCGTGGTAAAACTTTGAATGATGATGACGCTGTAAAATCTCACTTAACTCAGTTTCTAGCCGAAAAGGATCAGACTTTCTACGAGCGTGGAATTTTCAAGTTGTCGGAGAGATGGCAAAAGGTCATCGAACAAAATGCAAAATACATTACTGATTAAACTTCGTTCCAAGTGAAACAAAATTTTTTATTTCATTGAACAAATCGGCAATTGCCAACCCAATATTTCAAAAAAAGTTGATTTGCCATTCTGTATGACATGAGAAGACACAAATATTTATACAGTCCATTTACTATTTCAAGAATTTATTTTTCCCAGTTCTGCACGGCGAGCAGACGCGAGCATTCAATTATTCGAAAGGCGAATCTAAACAGCCGGTATGAAACAATAGCGGCGATCGATGGGAGAACTCGCGTCAAGAATAAATGGTTTGCGGTGGCAGTCGGGCGATTTATCTATCCATAAAACAGGGATGAAACGGGTGAGACGACAAGCCGGTAAACAGCCATTTTTATGGGCGATAAAGCAATATCGAAAGATATCCCGGTCGAACTGCTTTCAATTCGACAAGCCCAATGAAAAGCTTTTCGGCGCGACGACAAAATATCGAGAACCGGCCGTTAAATCGAGGGTGGGTACACCCTCCCATTACGGCGAACAGAGAACCGCGCTGACGAATTAGTCAGGTGAATATCGATTGATCGATCATTGATCTTCGATGAATTGGCCGGGTACGATTGTTTCGCTTCATTTTTATCGGTCGCGATCCGAAAGACCATTCATATCAATTCTTTGCAATTGTCACGGAACCTTTCGCGACCTCTTTCGCCGTTTACACCCCTTTGTCTCCGCGATTCTCCCGATTTTCATGGAGAATCAAAGGGTACCGTCGTTTCCCGTGTACCTATCGTTTTCATTCGATTTCAAGATCTCCGGAAAGCGTTGCGATGCAAATGATAATGGCGGCTCACCGGCGCGTCCTTGGATCGTTTGTAATGCACCGTCGTTCCTGCTTTCTGGGAGCTTCGCGGCTTATTGCTACCAGCGACAGAGTGATAAATCGTTTTCCACCCGAAGGCGCAAGCCTGAATTCATACTTGCCCGGCGTTCAAGGTACACCGTGTTTATCGAACACTCCAATGATCCTGAGAACCGAGTGTCCCCGCATTTTTCATGTTTTCGTAGAGTCAATTCCAAGAACAAGCACCGCGTCCCGACGAGAATTTCGAAGCGCAAGCAAAGCCCACAAAGGTTGTTTGCATTTTTCGCACTTTCATCAATCCCCCGGATAACGCGGAATCTTGCGAAGTTTCGAAGTTTCCCGGGATATTTACAAAGTACTTTACTTCCGAATTACTCTATTAGTATTTCGACGAGCTGTCGTTAAAGGGTTCTCATCCCGCTAATCTCAATCGCGTATTTAATTTCGGGAAAGAATTCGCCGCGACGGTGCACGAACGCCGTTGAACTTTCTATTGATTCAACTTTGTTAATTAAAGCATCGGGGTCGCCGTCGATGCTCCCCGGTTCATTAGCTACATTAAAATGCCTCCCGGTTGTTCCGCTGGTGGCGAGCCTCGATATTAGTTCAAGAAGTCACCATAAACATCTTGGCAGGCAGCCCCGGTGGTCTTTGGCTAAATTCAGAAGGCAAAGGTTTGCCAAGAAGCCGAATGAGAACCTGTTACGACGTCCATTATCGGCTTTACAGTGGTTTACTGGATGATCGCGAAGTAAAGCGGGAAACTACGACCACGAAACGTTTGCCAGCCGCGGTAAAACTTCTCCGACGATCCTCGGCCCTGGGAATTTGTTTAATATTTAAATTTCGCGAAGAGATCGCGTCCGATGCAGGAATCCGACGCCACTAAAAATAATATTTGTAGCCCAGTTTTTTAATTGTCTAGCCGAATTAATTATGCAGTCGTCCTCATAGCAAGCAAGACTTCGAGTTTCTCGGGTCGAATAAATTGATTTCGATCGAGAAAGAAATCGAGAATATCAGCGTAAAAGTAAAAGCAACGCGGAATTTCACATGTATCGCATACAAAGATCCGTGTTCCTCCGTTGATCCGGTAAAGCGACCTGTTTCTTAAACTTTTGCCTTCTGTAGTTTTTTTTTTACGTAAAGCTTATGTCATAGCGATTAACTATAATTCGGCAAAATAATTACATTCACCTGTTCATCAAAAACATGTCTTTTTGGATATAATCTAAAGTCAGCCCTGCACAATGAAAATTTTAAATCGCCGCGGTATTTTGACTGTACGAAGGTAGCATAATCATTTGTCTTTTAATCGAGGACTAGAACGAAGGGGTTAATGAGGTATAAACTGTCTAAAATTAAATAAATAATTTAGATTTTA